GGGGCTGCGGGGCGCTCCGCCGGGCCCGGCGGCCGCCGCCCCCGCCACATTGGCATCCGGCGTGGGAGCCCTGCCGGCCAGGGCAGGTTTTAGTTTTGGAATTGGGGCGCGGGGATCGAGACTTTAAATCTGCTGGGAAGTGCCGGGTTTTTTGTTCCTTGCAGACTTAGGCTTTGTGTCTGTTCGAGTACTAAAGACAGGGTAATTTCAACTTTCTTTATAGTGGCATTAATGAGTTAGATTTAAGATTTAGCCAAAATGGTTGTCTTGTAAAAAATACAACAGAATGATGCTGATGTGTTGAGAGTCTAAAGAATCTTGTGATGTGCAGAGTATGGCTTTATAAAGTTAATCAACATCTGAAAATTGAAAGGAGTTGCTGTGCAGCAATGCCTTGTACTATAAAGTGATTTACTGTCAAAATAAGTGTTTATATCAGTTCTGAGAGATTATTTTTAAGTAGGCTAAGAAATAACCTGTTATTTTGATGTTCTGAGCGTGTAACTGCTTGATTTATTAAAAGCAGAATATTTCTTATAGTCTACTACCAGGACAGTCCAAGAAAATAAATTGCCCTCCAGTAAGGACAGAAGGAATCTGTTGTCATCAGTGTATCTGTCTCCAGGTTTTTGCATTAATGCCTGTTTTGCATTAATGCCTGTTTTGCAGTAGGAAGTGATTTTACTAGAATTGCCAGCTGTATGTTAGGTTGTTCCGATGATAAAGATTTTGACTTAGCCAGTGGTAAATTCTCTAAATTGGTCATCCCAGCATTTAGTTAACCTCCCTTTGAAACTTTTTGTGCTTTCCTAGTCTGAGTTGGTGTAGCTTCAGTTTCTAGCTGCTGGATTTTATATTGAAGAGCTTTGTTTCCTATATTAATAGATACTTAGGGGAAGATAAAAATTTCCTATATCTTCTTCTCAACAAATTACCGATTCTTTTTTATGTTACTTATTTTGCTTCAAAGTGTGTTTTCTAATATATTTTGACATTTATATATCCACAGACCAAGTGTAGTACATTGGTGGTACTTTTGCACTTCAAGCCTGCATTTGGCTGAGTCTTCAAAATACATTCAGGTCTCTTTCAAAGTTGCATCTTCTTAGAGAAGTTTCCAAATCCTTAAACATTGCTTGTTTACATTTTCCTTAGAGATAACTGTTTCAGTTCATTACATGACTTTTTTGCCTGTGCCCTGCCCACATATCTTTTCACATTTTCTTTTAGGTTTGCCATGCCCCCAGTTTGTCTCAATTATTCTCTACTGATTAAAAAATAATGAAAAGGTATGAAAGTGAGACTGATTTTTGCTCAAATATAAATCTCTATTATTGTCTGATTTTGTGTGCACACCGGTGGGAATTTATATTACTAGCACTGTTAATTCCCAGTCTCATCCCTCTACGAGATGTTTTAACAGAGTCCTGGGAAAAGGTTACATTTATATTACCATCCAGGACACTTACTTGTTGCATGTTAATTGAATTGACTTCCTGAGTTAAAGCCTCCAAAATTATATTGCACACTCAAATTTCAACACCTTTTTCCCAGCAGAAACTTCTTTAAAATACATGTTTGATAATGTGTAGCAACAACAGTTCTCCTATTGAGAAATTACTCAGTTTAGAGGTTATTGATAAGAACTCTTCCAAGTTCAGCTCAGGTTTGGCTCTGAAGAGCAAAATGATTCTGGCATCTACATGGCAATTTTCATTCCATCTTCACTTCTGCTTTTGTTTGCCAACCCCTTCACAGCCGTATCTTGTAGAATGGCTCTGAAGGCCATTCTTTTTCCAGTTTGGTGACCTAGTTGAACATCTCTGGCATTGGCATGCTCTTGAATATGTGCCTGAGTTTCTCTGTCTCTTCAAGTGTCTCTGCATGTGCTGAGGCCTGTCTTGATGTGCAGAGCCTTCTGAAATGTTCATGTTGGAAACAGTTACCATTTGTAGCTTAAATAAAAAAATCTCAGTCTGTACAGGTCCAGTCAAGTACTTTACAGGTTTTATACATTTGTTCTGACAATTTAGTAGCACTGGAAATAAATGAATACCCTGTTGCCAACAGAATGCTTATTAGGTAGTGGATTGGTACACATCTTTTAAAACCATAACTTCTTTTGCTCTGTATTTGTAGTATGTTGATGCTTGTATGTAGCTGTAAAGTTACTTGGTAAATATTAAAAGTGTTTTGTTTAGTGACTGTCAAAGGTACACCGTGGCTGGGCACATATCTTTTGAAATGCTCGAATAAAAATATGTAGGACTTCCAAATCTGAACATGCAAATGCCATCCTTCAAAGACTAAAATGTTGTCTTCAGAAGCAGCTTTGGGTTGCTGTCCTTAAGCAAACATCCTTTCTTGATGCTTCTTGATTGTTCAGTATATAGTTATGCACCAACTTGCCGTGGTGATTAAATAGATTTCTGAGTTAAAAAAAATAAGAGTAGGTAGTTTTGACCTAGACAAAACATTACAAAATTTGTTTTATGACTTACCAAACTTACTGATCTTTGTAGCTAGATTGAACTGGTGCATCAAACATGAATGCACATTAGCTGCTGAATCAATAACTTTGTGTTGCTTTCTGGGCAAACTATGAGAAAAAAATGCTGGAAGTAGATCTTATGTTATTTCTGACAAAGAACTGAACAATGTGGCTTGTAGCACTTTCACACTACAGCAT